AGTCTGGGCCAGAGAGGCTGGATGGAGCTGACGGCAGGGCCAAGGTCATGGGTTCTGAGAGGAGAGGATGGGTTCAGGACATAGGGCAGTGTTGCTAAGACGTGAGAATGGCTGTGGAAAGGGAAAGAGGAGCATGGAATCCAGCTTCCGAATCTGGCTTAGGAGGCTGGTGTGATGGTGCTGCGGTAACCACAATGCTCCGGGGAAGCTGGTGAATTCAGCTCTGTACTCCCTGCCCTTTGTTTTCTGGCTGCCTCCAACGATACCTGATTACAGGGAGAAGTCATCCTCATCAGCATTTCTGTCACCCCCACCTTGAGCCTGATGAACCCCGATGTCAGGATCTGACCAGGCCCTCCAGGAGCACTCAGAGCAAGTTCAGCTTTAGATGTCTGCCTGTGGGCTATTCAGGCCTCAGATTTTTCTTCCCTCAGTTTCATTTGAAGGACCAAACGCTACCACCAGTTATCAGATGTGTATATACTTGAAGTTCGCAAGTTTGAAGTGCTGACAAAAGCTTCCGCATGTTGCAGAGTGAGCAGAGGTCTTCAGAAGTCTTGGCCTAAGTGGTCGCAGGGGCACCAGGAGCCCAGGACCACTTGGCTGGTTTCAGACCAGCTGGGCGGTGGGAAGACACGCTCTCCTATTTGCTCGGTTACCATCAGCCACCACCTCTTTGTGTAAAATGGTAATGAGGCCATTAGGAGAGGCTCACCTGAAGTGCAGCGTGTGAATCCTCGGTAATTAAACACCTCCCGAAAGAACGGCAAAGGCCAGGCAAGGTTAAGTGAGGAATAATCTGCGGCACAGGTGGCCCAAGGCCTTTGAGGAGCCAGAAGAAGAGCGACAGTAGCTTGCACCATTTCAAAGGATGGAAATGTCACCCTGGTCCCCGGGAGGGGCAGGATTTTTTTTACGTGGAGGGTGGGGAGTGGGCAATATTTTTAACGTCTTAATAAAGCATGCGGGCACTGCTGGTGGGAATGCAGATTGGTGCAGCCACTGTGGAAAGCAGTATGGAAAGAGTTTCTTCAGAAAATTAAAAGTGCAACTGCCTTTTCACCCAGCTATCCCACTCCTGGGAATATATCGTAAGAATCCCTAAACACCAATCAGAAAGAATATCTGCACCCCTATGTTCATAGCAGTGCAATTTACAATAGCTAAGATCTGGAAACAGCCCAAGGGCCCATCAGCAGACGAGTGGATAAAGAAGCTGAGGTACATTTACACAGTGGAACACTACATGGCCATAAAAAAGAAGAGGCTCTTATCCTTTGGGACAACCTGGATGGACCTGGAGAGTATTATGCTAAGTGAAATAAGCAGTCAGAGAAAGACAAATACCATATGCTCTCACTTATATGTGGAATATAATGAACAAAATAAACTGACAAAATAGGACCAGAGGAATGGATGCATGGAACAGACTGACAGATCTCAGAGGGACAGGGGTTGTGGCGGACTGGAAGAGATTAACCAAAGAACATATATGCATAGCCCATGGACACAGACAACAATGTAGTGAAGACCAGTGGGGGGCAGGGGCTGAGTGAAGCGGGGCAAAACGGGAAACAGGGACATCTGTAATAGTGTCAGCAGTTAAAAAAAAAGAGAAAAGGCAGGCGTCTTTTTCACATTGCTGTCTCAAGTTGAAAGTCCATGACACAGTCTGCCTGGGTGCCAAGTGGCTGCATTGGTCCTCACGGGCGCCCACCACTGTGGTGCAGGGGCTCGTATGTCCCAGAATAGAAGAGGTCACAATAAACCAGATATTTGTACCCAGATGTTGAGACAAGATGCAAAGTGCTTCCAGAGGAAAATTGTTTTCTTTGGCCTGCCTCCAAACAGAGATGGGTGGCTACCCTCTCAGTGCACGTTCCCATCGCCTCTGACTTAGCAGAGGAGGACGTCAATCCTAACTACACTCGGTTGACTGTCAGGCATACGGCACACCCCCTCAGCAACAACACAGGATTTCCCCCCGTACTAAGTAAACACTTATTGATGGCCTACTATGTGCGAAGCACTGTGTCCCATGTGTCCTTTGGCTTGTACGTGAACATTTATAGCAGCATTATTTATAATAGCCAAAAAGTAGAAACAACCCAGATGCCCAAATGAATGAATGAATAAATGCCCCTGATGAATAAATACATAAAATATGGTATATCCATATAATGGAATATTATTCAGCTATGCAAAAGAACGAAGTATTGATAAGTGCTATAACATGGGTGAAACTTGTTCGTAATGAACACTATGCTTAGTGAAAGAAGCCAGCCACAAAAGGCTACATACATATTGTATGACTGCATTTATGTGAGCTGTCCAGAAAAGGCAAATCCTTAGAGACAGAGAGTGAACTGATGGTTACCTAAGACTGGGATGAGGAAAGAGGATGGATGGGGGATAACTAGTGACCACCGATAAGGTGAGTCTTCCTTCGGGGGTGATGAACGTGTTCTGGAATTAGATAAAAGTGACCATTGTAACAGCCTTGTCACTAAAACCCCACTCAACTGTACACTTTAAATGAATGAATTTTATGGTGTGTAAGATACATCTTTTTTTTTTTTTTTCCAACAATTCTCATGTGTCGGTACTTTTTATGTTGTATACATAAAATTATAGTAAAAGCGACTATAAGCAGATGTAGCCCCTCCATTTTCATGATCAGCACACTGCATCACAGTAAACCAAGTTCATAGTCCAGCGCCAAGTGTGGTTCTCCCATTTGTGCACTTCGTGATGGGTCATTAATGTCCTCAAATCCAGTAGTCTCATTACCACCCTTCAAAATACCCAGTAAAAGGTGCGAACCTGGAAGAAATGGAAGACTCTGAACCCGTTGCACTGCCTTGAATTCCATTGGCAGTTTCAGTGGAGCAAGCAGACCCCGGGTGTTTCTCTATGTGGAGAAATTCATTTCATCTTGGTGAAGCTAGAAAGGTTTTTTTGATAATTCAAGAAGATGACTGGGCAGAAGTTCATTTTTCACAAGAAAAACCTTTTCGAAGAAGATCGTGACTTTCAAAAGGTCCACTTGCTGAAAGTTGAGTGACTGGAACACTGTCCTTTAGCTGAGGTGCAGGTCCTCTGGTATCATCTTCAGCTCGCTCTGCGGACAGCCTCTCAGCCCCGTTCCCGTAAGATGTATCTTAATAAGCTGTTAAAGTCCTTTATCAGAAGCGTAGTAATAAGAACCAGTGTTCATGGAGCACTTCTAAAGGTGCATGAGGTCCATCCCAGATCACTGATTCTTAATGGTTTTCTTGTTTTGTTTTGGTTCTCAGGCATCTTTAGGATTCTGAGGAAAACTATGGAACCTATGCCCCCCAAAGTTACCATCACTTATTCATATTAAAAATTTGTACATGATTCATGGACCACCTCGACCTAATTTTCTATTACATTTTATCCAAAATGTTATCTTTAAATAATGTCAAGCCATTAGACAGTCCTTTATCTAAGGCCAATTCCTGAAATATGCCCATGATATGTCACCTGCATGCTTAAAAACAGTTGTTAGCTTTATATTGCTCTCAAGATGAAGAGAAAAACCCGTACTATACTCACTCCTCTGGCCCCTGCCCTCCCCCCATTCAAGCCATATTCCCCTCATTCTCTCCACTGAAGCCACAGCCCTTTCTGCTCTCTGGACTCCTCCCCACCACAAGGTCTTTGCAAATGCTATTCCCCATGCCTGGGACACTGTTCCTCTCCCCTTGGCTGAAGTGACTCCTTCAACTCATCCTTCAGGTCTCAGTCCAAATCCATTTCCCTCCTGGAAGCCTTCCTTGAGCTCCTTGATGAGCTCTGTCACAGACTGTCACAGTAGCAGTGTCACAGTATAAGTTTGATGAGGGCAGAGCTTATATCTGGTTTTGGGCACCACTGTATCCTCGGCACCTAACAGTCCTGGGCACTGAGGAAATAATGAATATTTGTTGAGTAAATGAATGACTCCAGGCTACCACATTGCACAAGTCCAGGGGCACCTTTCACATGGAACACAGTATGAATGGTGTGCCCGGAAGTCATGCAGTGTGGCATCCTGAGATGAATGAAGGCCACATTAGACACAAACCCGGGAGCTTGATGCTGCCTCTGATGTGGAGGGCAGCAGCCATCACGTCATAGTCATTCCTACACTAAGGACTCATGAAAGAATCTCATTGAGTTCTCACTTTCAGGAAAATCTGTGTTCAGTTGGATAACTGGTTTGTTTGTAATACATGGACCCAAGAATCTCACCTCTTATGCATCCCTTTTTGCCTTGACCAGTAGGAGGCTCTTAAGTCAAAAATTCATTTCCAGCTACTATGTAAGATCTTATAGCTTATCTTTATGTATTTAATGTATTCCTGGCTACTTTTCCCATTGCCATGGCTTTCTTATCTATTTTCTTTTAGTGTATGAGTACTTATCTATAAGTTGCTACTATTCTTTTAGAGTATAAGGTGTGAGCCATATAATAACATATTTACTAATTATATATAACATTAATTATTATAAATAAGTCATTTATTTCTAATATCTGTAAATAATTTGAGGAGGGAATGGAATTGGAACTGAAAATCTTTGTGTAGTTTGGGCCAGATGACATGGCTCCCATTCGTGTTCCGACTTGGCCACTTTTTAGTTTTGTTCCCAGGCACATGGTCTAACCTCTCTGAGACTGTTTCACCCTTGTAAGGTGGGAACACTAGTTTCTTCCTTGCAGGATTACTGAAAGAAATTAAAAATTGTATGTGGAGCACTTACTTGGCACACTGTGCCTGCTTAGAAGGTGGTTTTGTTTGTGTTTCTTTTAGATATGCTCCAGTAGAACAACATTCATTTAGATGTCAGAAACCTGCCCCAATACTGAACGCATCTGTGCTCTCCTGGCAGCCGAGGTCCCAAGTCCACCCCTGGCCGGGGACTTGCTAGAGCTCTTAGCCAGCTCTCCTCCTCCGACCCTGCCCTCAACCTGTCTCCTTTCTCTCGGTCACCAGATCTCCTCCCTGAAGAACCGACTGAAGAAGGTCTCCACCACCACTGGCGACGGTGTGGCCAGAGCCTTCCTCAAGGCCCAGGCCGCCTTCTTCGGCAGCTACCGGAACGCTCTGAAAATCGAGCCAGTGAGTAACTTCTTGGCGTGTTATAATCCATGTCTGGTCAGGGCTAAGAAACGCACCTCAGGGGCCACAAGAACCCCACAGTTCGCCTGGTTGTTGAATTCACCTAGAAGAGGTGAGGCGTCTGTACGGTGTCTGTACGCCTCTGGAAGGTGTTGGGGGCCAGGGAGGGTCCCCCCGTACCCTGTCTCTTAGCACAAGGAAGCCGCCAGCCACAAGTGAGGCACTACCTGCTCCTGCGAATGTTACGACCCCTTCCCTCCCCGACAGTGGCACCGACTGGGTGTTAATACATGCCCGTGTCCTGCTTGTCTCCCAGTGAGGTGGCTCAGCCTCTTTGTCCTGACCTCGGGCCCAGCCAGACCAGTCAGGTTTGGTGTCCCTTTGAGAGCTGGTGTAAATTAAGGAAACTACTGTAGTCTTCCCATCTCTAAACTGAGAATGAGGCAGCTGGCTCAGTTCTTTCCTTAGGATGCTGAGGACCGACAGACGTGAAGTGTCCCCACCTCCCAGTGAGCCCACAGTTGCCAGGTGTATGTCTAGAATCCTGGCCCGTGTTGGTGGGTGTATGGTTGGGCACAGGTGGGTCCTCTGGAGGAGTTTATGGTTGTACTTGCTTTTGCCTCTGGAAGGTGTTGGATTTTAGAGTGGAAGCCCTGGAGTTTAAAGCCTGTCTCTGTACTTCTAAGTTGTACAGCCTTGAGCAAGCCACTTAATCTCTTTAAACTTCAGTTTCTTCAGCGTGAAATAAGAATACCTAGCATTCTACATCTCCAGGTGGTTATAAGGCTCAAATGCGTCATAAAACATAGGAAAGGTGAAGCTTGACCTGGGTCAGATGGGTAAAGGTTGGGAAAGGAAAGACAGAATCCCTTCCTGTGCTGAGTGTGGAGTGAACTGAGTGAGCAGAGGCTTGGAGGCAGGACCCCTCTAGGCCACTCTGTCTGGGGTCAGGGGTTTGGGTGGGGAGATGGGGCTGCAGGAGAGGTTGGAGCCGAATTTGACAGAGTTTGGGTGCTGGGCTGGGAGCGTGCACTTCACCCTATGGGGAGTGTAAGATGTGAGCAGAGGTGTAGCGTGACTGAAGTCATGTCTGGACGGCAATGGATGGAAAGGCAAGTTGGAAACAGAGACCAGGGGACTCATAAGGGAGCTCAGAAGAAAGCCCTCTGGTGGTTACACCAGGAAAAGGTACATGAAGAAGGAATGACTTAGATGCACATAGTAATAGACTAAAATATGGAGACAAGGGGGCAAGAAATGTCCAAATGTCTCCCGAGATTTAGTCCTGGGAGAGGATGGTGACCCCAGAGTAGAGAAAGGAGAAGCTCAACACAAAGGGGTCCCCAACAGCAGTCCTTATAATGGCCGCAACATGGGACAGACCAAGTGCCCATGGTAGGCAACTGGTAAGCACCGAAATACGGCAGATTTATCATGTTCTCAGCCCCATTCATCTGTACCAAAATGGCTTTTTTCTGTAAGGCCAAGAGGGAAGCCAGAGGGCCTGACATTTTCTTACTGCACTTCATCACCATGTTGCCTAGATGGTGTCTAAACCATAGATTTAATGCTGGCCAGTTCTCATCCGAAAAATGGGATGCCAGCACATCCCATAGAGGATTGTTTGAGGAATTAATTAAAATAATGAACTGCAAAGCACATGAGAGCCCAGGAAGGGGTGAAGGGTGGGGGACACTAGCCACACAGGGGTGGGGTGGGATGGGAATGGTGACTTGGACGAGCCTCTGGGGTGGCAGGCAGCCCAGTGCCGAGGGGATAGGGCAGCCTTGCCAGGCCACTGTATTTCTCTGATTATAAAACACCTGCTCTTGGTGAGAAATGTTTAAAGAAAGAGGACTTGAGTGAGAAGACACCCATATCCTATCATCTGGAGCTAAGATAACAGGTTAGCATGTTTCTACCCAGGTTTTAGGATGTTTTGGGTTCTTTTTGTTTCACTTGGTTTTTGGTTTTGGGGATTTTACTTTTAGACAGTTGAGAAATTACCAGCAGAACAACCCAGTCCCCAGTTGTTTGGTTTTGCCTTTTAGTACGTTGTAAGCATTTATTCATATCATATAAAAATTCTTAAGTGTCATTTGTAGTGGCCACACATATCCCATCAGGTGACTCCAGTGGTTCCCAGCCTTGGCTGTGATCAGAATCACCTGCGGGGCTCTTAGAGGGGCAGCTGGGCCCCACTCGCAGAGACTGTTATCGATTTGTGGGATCTGAAATCATGTGGGGGCCACCACACCATCCCGGCCCTGGTCCTTTCATTTGTCAGGCCCCTTTCACCACTTTAAACCACACTGTGGTGAGCATCTTTAGATAATCAGATGAGGAAGAAAGTTGGTGGCCAGAGCAGGTGGTGGCCGGATGGGGCACCTCTGAGGCAGATTGCCCGGCAGGGTCCAAGCAGCAGCCAGTGGTGGGAGAATAGTCCAAGGTGGAGGGCTTTGTGGGCGCCACACCCAGTGTGGTGTGGGTACCGTGCTGAGACTCGGGTCAGGCACAGTTGTGGGACCGTGGTTTGTAAACATGAACACAGTGCTCACCGGTGGTGCCTCTCCGGGGCCCCGGGAATGGTCTCCGAGGCTCTCCTGAGGGTCAGGAAGTGGGGCGCGAAGGGGGGCCGGCAGCAGCCACGCTCCCGCCTGCTCAGCAGCCGCCCCCAGGGCCGAGCTCGCTTCATCTCAGGGCTCCACGCGTGACCTCAGCGCTTCCCACCAGCGCCTCGCCCTGTCCCTTTCACAGGTGGGAGGTGGAGGCTCAGATGGCGCCGGGCACTCAGGTTCCTCCCGCCACCCCTCCCGCCGCCTTTGTTCTGGTTCCCACATGTGCCACTTTCTTAACCCTTTCTCTCTGCGTTCCCAGCACCCGGCATGGGTCGGGGCACGGTGTGGATCCGTGAGCATATTTGGGAATGGTGGATGGAAGGACGGGTGAAGGAAATGAAGGCACAGGGAAGCGTGTGGGGCTGGGGGCTGGCCCTGGGTCTCTGTCCAGTGTGCACACATCGCACCCCGTCCTCTCTCTAGGCTTCGGGTTGCTGCTGCCTGGCAGGGGGAGAGTGTCTGCAAATCGCAGGGCATGCGACCCATTTTCCAGCCACCCGGAGAATATCAGGTGCAAAGCCCAAGATATTTAACAGTATCGGCCAAGCCAACTTGTTCATCTCCATTTAAATGACAGAACCACAAGCAGCCAGGCAGCTCCATTCGCGAAAACCCCCTTTATCCATGTCAGGCGCAGCCGGGCTGCAGCTCATTTATTTAGGCCTTTCTTGCTCTCTGACACGCCTCCTAGCAGTTGCCAGGCAACTCTGGGAGTAGCAGTGTGTGTTAGGGATTAACTAGTTAGGGCTGGGGTCCTTTTTGGCAGGAAGGAGATAAAAGACAAATGATTTTAATTGCCGGGCCAAGGATCCTTTCCAGCTTGGTGGGAGATGTAGCTTCTGGAGGGTGCGCATAGCTGTGCGGGTCTTGAATTTGCCTTGGAAGTTCCTCTTTCTCCTGCCTGTAGAGAACAAATGAATTTTAACAAGAATCTCACTTTTACTTCTCCTTTGTTTAAAACTGTGTCATCATGAAATCTGAATAAGACTAGCCCACCGCCCTCTCTTTGAAAGACATTTCATAGCACAGTAGCCTTAGTTTTAAAGAACTTTCAAAAATAGACTGTGTCTTCTAATTCCATCCCTTTTTCTGTCCGGAGTTTCTCATTTCATAGCTCATGTTACCTGGAGTCGTCGTAAGACAACACATGTGAAGGCGCCTGTCCCCAGGGCCTGTCTGCTGCGGGTCCTTGGTAAATGTTAGATCAGAAGGCAAAACCGGTGGCTATCGGTGCTTTGAGCTGCATCCTGTTCTGTGCCAGTGCCTGTGGGAAGGCCCATACAGATGGAGCATCTGAGATTGCTTATTCAACTAGCGTGTGGTGCTCTCTCCCGGCCAGCCTGCTGGCTGGGTGTCCCCAGGGTGAGTGGAGCACAGCCCCTGCCCGCAGGGAGTGAATGCCAGGCTGGGGGCAGTCAGCAGCCAGCCAGGGTGTCTGCGAAGGAGGCTGTGCAGGCAGCAGGCAGCTCCTCCACTCTTGCTGCTCAGTTCACCCCGAGAGGCCCGGCTTCCAGATCCAGCTGCGGGCACGCTGGCATCATCTCCCTTACAGGCCCTGAATGTGCACAGGACTCTGCTGAGTCATACTTATCTACCTAAAACCCCTTGAAGACAGAGAAGTTAAGATAAAAGCAGAGTGATAGCCCAGCTTTCAGGCTTGAAGGGGCAAGGCTGTATTGGAGCAGGTCAGAAAAGCATCTGTCTCTTGGCTGAGTAACACTGTCTTTTACTGTGAACGTTTGGCTTCTATCTCAAATGATAATAAAGGATTTGTAAGAAATTACATATTTAATTTTTAAATATTTCATTATTTCCCTTTAATTAAGGGAATATTTAATTATTCCCTTTAATATTTATTTGATATTTATTCATTCATTCATGTTATTGCTCAGCAGCACTTACAGGCTGGGGGGGGGTAGGTACCAAGGGTTCAAAATTAAGAAATGCATTAGTCTGTTTTAAAAATGCATAAGGAAATATTATTGAGAATCATTTTTTCTATTTCATGAAAACATTTTTTGCCGGTGGGGACAAGAGGACCATTGTTCACTGTTGGCACCAAATCTCCACTGTCCACCTGCCAGGGACAGTGGTGTTGCTCAGGAACACAGTTTGGAAGTCCGGGCACCTTGGAGCCACACCATGAACAACGGCTGAACTGAGAACCGCTGTTTTAGAAGAAGATGGCCCATAAAAAGTAGGTCCTCACGTGAGAGATGAGAACTGGCCGGAAATCTGCTTCAACACGATGATCAAGCCTCACTGCGTGATTTCAAAGAGCATCACTAAATATGATGAACCTTAAGTTCTCCTATGTTCTAAAATACTTGAAAAATAAAACACAGTTAGTGTATCATAGACTATCCAGAAGGAACTCTAGAC